GTGTTTAAGATCCTTTTTTTATTGGTCACATGAAATATTCTAATTTTATGAAATACTGGATTTTTTTTTTTTTTGTCTTTAATCCATAATCATCAAAATTGAAACAAATAAAGGCTTGACATATTTCACTTTGTGTGTAGTGAACTAATATAACATACAAGTTTCACTTTTTGAAACAAATTATTGAGATAAATGGACTTTCCCTCGATATTCTAATTTTTTGGCACATACCTGTATGTGCACTGGTGGCAGGTTGCTCCAGACTGATGGGGGCTCATCATGGTTTCTTAGTTGATTCCTTTTATTAGGTTACCAAACAAAACAACAACTAAACAATCAACAATTAAACATTTAGATGGCAGGAAGCTAGTTAGTTACACAGTGTGTTTAAAACCCACATTTACATGTTAAATAAACAGTTTTGGGAAACGTGTCTGTGTGGAAAAGCCTGGAGCTCCTGTCTGACTGCATTACCCTTCTACCACACACCGGATCCTGTTGGTTACACACTCATCAGGGATCTGCCCCTGGCCAGGAAACAGTCCGGCACAGCAGCAGTCCTGCTCTCATCCTCTAGAAGTAGTGAGACAACCTCCAGCTCCATCAGCCTTTCACTCAGTGGCTTCCATCCATAAAGGCCCGACTGAACGGGGACGCTCAGAGCTTCAGACGTGGTTTGATTCCCTGGCCTCACCACAGTCTGACCACAGAGTCCACAGAGATCCCCTGGACACACAGGTGTGTGTCTGTCTACACTGTGTCCAGTGGGCCCAGTTTGCCACAGGTGGACTCCAGTCAGGGTCTGGACTCATCTCACACAGGAGACACCTGAGCACAGTGTGAAGCCACAGCAAAGACTCTGGAGACTTTGGGAAGGGAGAGAGCTCAGTTTTTGAATTTTAATACATCTGCAGAAATGTCTAAAAACCTGTTTTCACTCTGTGGGTTACTGAACATAGACTGGAGGGTAGAAACGTGTGTCGACGAGCTGCGCTGCCACCCACACATGTGGGCCAGAACGCTGAGCGTTGAAGCGTCGGCCTCAGTGACCACAGCGAGCAGGACTGCAGACACACCGAGGTCAGGAGAACATCACGTGTCACTACTCTACAGCACAAACATGTTTCAATAGGAAACCCAGCTCCTTTAAAACATAAAAACAACAAAGTGACCTTAAGAAACAAACAGCGATAGAAATATGACCTCCTCCTTCTTCTCAGTATCAAACAGATTCTTTTCATGGCAGATGTCTCGATTTGTCACAGCAGGAAAAGTACAGGTGTAACTGATCCTTTCAGCGACGGCTCAGGTGGACCCGCTGTCCCCGTGGGTCATTACAGTGGACTGAGTGAAATCCAGTCGCCATTAGCTTTATTAGTGACTAGTTCAGTTATCAGTTACCCCCGTCTGTGCTCGCCCTGCTCTGACAGGCCAAACACTGCTATGAAGTGGTTGAGTTGGTGCCTAAACCGCCCTCCTGTGGCCAGTACAAATAAAATACTGTAGTATATAACACAAGAGTACTGAACAGGGGCCCCAGGTGTTTGTCTTTAAATAAATACATGCAGATAAATATAACCATGAAATCATCAGCTTTGACACTCAGCTCATTAAATGCTTTCTCATCCTGCTTTTCACAAATACAAAGTTTAGCGCAGGATTTTTCTTTTTTTAATTTACCTCCAGAAGTTTTTATTTATTTACACTTTATCATCTTCTTCTTAGAACTGTTGTGTTTTGTTGGTCTGACACTGAACTAAATCAGCTTTATGTGTCCGGTGATTCAGACCAAACAGTCTGTTTACTGGCTCCAGCCCCGTTTGTCTTGAACGACAGGTGAAGAAAAGTGACATCAAATAAAACGTTGTTTAGAAAAAGGATGTGACATAAAAACAAACTTTGGACGAAGGAAATGTTGAATCAAACATATCAATGTGAAAATGTTTTGGATTATTCCACAGTCTCATGGACATATTAGCATTTTGTCAGTTCTTATTCATGTGATGACTAATTTCACTTTGCTGTGTCTATATTCATTTCATATGAAACGCCTCAGGGCTGAGGTGGGCGCTGCTGAGGCGGGCGCTGCTGAGTCAGGCGCTGCTGAGGCGGGCGCTGCTCCTCATGCAGCCGGCCCAGGTGGAGTCTGATTGTGTCTCCCGGCGCCGTTCATGAGCCTGACACACAGTTTGTCCAGCCTCACAGCTCGGCCTTTTCCTCTGGCCGTCATGCTGTCCGGCCTCCTGACCTTCAGGCTAACGGCCTGCAGGTGGCGCTGCTCCTCCACCTCTTCGCCACTGCCATGATTCAGCTGAGGATGCTCTGCCTCCACCAGAACAGCTGTACAGCTGTTGAACACAGAAGAAGCAATGGAAGTTTTGTGATGCTACAGTCGACAAAGTACATAATACTACTATACTTTTACTTCAGTTGGATTTTAATTAGAAGTAGTTTAATGTATTGGTACTTTTACTTATGTGAAGGATGTGAGCACCTGCTCCACCACAATGATCCCTCTGTCTTATGTGAAAGCTGATCAATCACAGTGTGTCAGTGTTTTTTCTTAAAGCCAGGGCATGTGAGTGCATGTACGGTACGTCTGTGTGTGTGTACTGACCTGCTGCCGGCTGTGCAGTCCTGGGACAGGAAGCAGGACTGAGACACATGCTCCAGCAGAAGAGCCTGCACTTTAGTCAGCTGTCCCTGTTTGGTCAAGCTCTGGAAATACCTGGAAGGACAGACAAATGTTAGACCAAGAGACATGCCAAAAACAAACAAACAGAGCAGATCAGACCACCGCAGCAACAAGACAAGCAGCCACAGAGGATGCGTGTACAAACACCAGATTACGACACTGTCCAAGGACATGAAGCCCTTCCCGTGCGGTTTCAGAGAACGGCTCCACCTTATGTAATCGCGTGACTCTGCGTCCACTGCTCGTGGCCCATTTTTGTGTTATGAAACATCGAACTGCCTTGACTTAATTGGTGCACACAGAAATCAAGGTGAGTGCACTGCTATCACAAAGTCTGCTCTGCAAACAGCCCTGCAAAACATGTAACCTGAGGGTTAGATGCACTGGAGACATGTTGTGACACATCCCATGTGCAAAACATCAGCCAAGTTCTCAGTGCGACTGCTGTTGGGTGACTGGAGCTACCTGGCAGTGCAGTTGCAGTGGTACAGCGTCCTGGGCTCTGGGTTGTGGAGGCCGTATCTCCTCTGCTGGGGAAGGATCTTGTTCCTGCACTCATCGAGAACCTTGTAGACGTCACAAAACAGCTGCTTCTCTGTGGAGAAAGCATCCATGGAAAGGTCCAGTTCTGTTGCTGTGGTGTGGAAAGCTGAAATGCTGGAGAGATGTTGGGACACTGATACCTGTGATGTGAGCGTTCAGCTCAGACACACTTTGGTTTTTAGCGGGTGAAGTGTTCATCAACTCATCCCTGCTCTCGGGCGTCGATCCTGTGGGTCTCCCCGACATGTTAGTGCCTGTGGAGGTGGTGACATCGGTAGCAGGAGTGACGGAGGCAGAGGGCGTCGGGGCTGTGATGGACAGGAGCTGTGGGTGTGACGCGCTGCTCTCAGGGAGCTCTGCCGGCGCGGTAGTGTTGTCGGTGGAGCTGGTGCTGTTCATGCTGAGCTCTGCTGGACTAGCGGGCTCATACAGTGGGGATGAATGGACCTCAGCATACAGAGACATTTTAGTCTCTTTACACCTGCAAGTCACAACAGAGGTTCAAACGATTTAAAGGATAGTTTGACATCTGGGAAATGCATTCTGTGTCCATTCAGTAGGAAGCCTTCAGCCAGTTAGCTTAGCTTAGCTTAGCTTAAAGCCTGGGACCAGTGGGAAACCACAGATATAAACACGCTGATGCCACATCCAGTCTGTGTAGATGTGCTGAATTTGGTAAATAACAATAAGTGCTCCTTCTCCTACGCTAACATAGTAACCTGATGGTACTAAGCTACACATAAAAGTTATGTTTCTGTGGTTCATAGACATAAACATCTCTGGGAGCATTAAATGTCTAGAAGTTTCACCCAGTCCTTCTTCCAGCTGTCAAGATCTTTCAGTCTGGACTGACAACCGCTGCCGTTTGTGCAAACACAGCTAAGCAGACGGAGAAATCCCAAGACCTGGACAACATCAACCTAAACTGCATGCTGCTGTATGTCAGGTGAATCCTCTAAATCACCGATTAACTCACAAAACGTCTTGATTTGCCCTCACAATCCACTAAATACATTCGACCTTTACTTACATCCCAAACCAGTTCCTCTGTGTACACTGGAGGCGGTGGGCGAACTCGAAGCAGTGTATCTTCAGCAGGTTGAAGAAGGTGTATCCCACTGCACTAGATATGCTGTCATTCACGTCCTGCAGGCAACGGCGAAACCTGTAACATGCATCACACAGTGGAGTTATAACAAAACATCAAGGAGCGCACACACAACACATCTGTCAGCAGGTGAGAGTGCAGGTATGAAGCCCTACCTGTTGTCACAGTCACAGTGAGACATGGTGTAGATGTTGCTGTTGAAGACACCGAAGTCTGAGTGGAAGGACGGGATGGAGTGTTGGCACTGGTCATGTTCCCGGCAGCAGCTGTCTGTGTCCGTGAAAACCCCTGCAAGGGACAAGGCCACAGGCGGTTTGGACCAAAATTAGCATGTTGTAATTGTAATGTCCCTGCAGCCTGAGTGATCGATCCCCAGGCAAACTTTCAAAATTTGTAATGTCCCTGCAGCCTGAGTGATCACGGGTTCACCTAAGCAGTGAAAACACACTGAGCAGTGAGCTAAAGGGACACTCCACCAAATTCACATGGCAGAGCCACTTTACTAGTGATCAGCTTTATAACGCCTTCTGTGGTTCTACAGGAGCTTGTTCACTGAACCTTGTGTAGTTTTAGGTAGTAAGGCTGGACTGACAGATGTTTGTACCAGGTACCAAGAAGTCCAGCTGTCGGAGCACATTTATAGGCTTGTTAGACTCCAAACACAGCACAGTGGTTTGGAATCCTCACACACAGGATTGTACAACTCTGGAAAGTTACCACAGAGGTTTCATCTTTGGTCGTGACGTCAAACAGCAGAAATTCAGTGTTCATGTAACAAAGTGATCCACCAGGAGTGATGTCACGTTGCATTGCAAAAAACGTTGAACCAATTCCAACTTTTCCCCACATGACGCCGCCTCGTTTTAGCCGAGCCTCCGTGGGGCTGTGGTCCCTGCTGTGAATGAGAAGGGCTGCGCTTTGTCACACGGAGTGAAAGCTTGTGTTACGTGGCCTAAAGCAGCAGCCACGTTCCAACAACAGGCAAAGGAAAACCACTGACGTGGATGTTAACACAGCAGGTTTCATACTTTGTTTTATGAGGGAGGAAATACATTCAGCACTTGGCTAGACACGTGACATTACTTATTCTGTTCTGTCCAACAGCTACAGCATCTCTGTCCACATGGAAGACAGCCCCCCCGTTACTGTTGGCTTCTCTGTCTCAGCACTCCAAAGATAAGACACTGAACGTGGTGCAGACTGTAAAGCCCTTTAAAACAGACGTGTGATTTGGGCCTATATGAATAAAACTGTCCTTTAAACGACACAGCCACTGGGATCCTGTGCTCTTGCCCATTTCCCTGGCCTCCTGTGGCTCTGTCCAGTTTAAAATGACTGTCCTTCTCTAAGCCAAGGCAGCCAGCGAAGGGTTACTGAGAGAAACAGTTGGGTTGCATTATGGGAAATGTAGTATCCAGGGGTTAGAAGCTTAAATATACCAAGGCCTGATTATATCTCTGCCCATTCATTTATAAACAAGTCCCACAACAATAAACAGGTTTTCATATGTCTTCACGTGCACAGAGCAGAGGGAACCCTGGGGTTTCCTCCGTGTCACCTTTTGTACATGAACACAACATGACATAGCAAATATTAGGCTGTTAAGCTTTGGGGGCATTTCTAACACCAGCTGTTTCCAACCTTTATCAAAATGAAACTGTATTCACAGGCTGGGGTCTTACCCTGGATTATATCTGCCTGTGAAGAGGTGGGGGGGGGACCAGCTGAAGGAAAAGGCACACACTTCATTTTAAAAGCTAACTTTTTGTTTGTTTGTAAAGAAATTGGACATAAGCTAGCTTCTTTTCCTTTCCTGACTGTCTGGTCATTCGCTAGTTTGGGAAAAACTGTCCAGAATAATTGGCAGCTTCAGCCAATAACGGATCCAACCTACCCAAATCTTCAAATGACGGCGCCTTGTTCCCAGAGCCGCACCACAGAGTCCCGGGCACAGTGAAGGAGCGCTTCAGTCGCCGATGGGTCCTGACCTCTGGCCCTTCACCTTGACCTTGACTCTGCTCAGCCGCTGGGAGACCACCGACGCTCCTCACCGGCCTCTTCCCTGCGCGCTCCACTTGCAGGGCCATACCTGGAGAAGCCAGAGACACGCACACATCCTCTGCCTCTAGCATGGACTTGAAATCGACATTTACATTTGGATGATCGGTAAACTGCCGCGGGCGCTCCCGGCACAGAGAGAGGTAGCTGTGTGTCACCGCTGCGTCGTCGCTCCACGTACAGCGCAGCAGCGTGCGCCCCGCGGACCAGGCGCTGTGGTACAGCCGCAGCGACGAGGAGCCCTGCCGGAGGAAAGTGTAGTGCGCCTCTTCGTTAGGCAAAACCTTGGTCCAGGTGCAGAGGAGCGAGTCTTCTGCAGCTGCCCATCCCAGGAGTGTCGACGTTAAGATGACGGTAACAAGGCGAGCGGTGTGCGTCATGGTGGCGCGCGGCTGAATGAAAGAAGCTGAAATCTCCGTCTAAGATATGAATACTGCACCTGCTGAGGACAGTTCAGGACAGACAGCAGACCGCAGGTCGGTTTTAAATGGGGGGCCCCGGTGGAGCTAAAATACACACAACACCCAAATAAGCATGAGTCATGTGACCTGTCAGTGTCGTCCAACATCAGCCTCTCTCTCTCTCCCGCATCCGGACAGTGACAGTGACACGCGCACACGAACGTGACAGTTGCTGAGGAGCCAAAAACTAGCGAACTGATCAATAATAAGTCGTTAATGAGTAGTTAATAAGTGGAATCCCTGACTAATGATGACTTAGTGGCAGAGATAAAACAAGTACTCCGACTGTTTGCTAAAGTTAAAGTAGTAACTGTACCAGTGTAGAAATACTACACATGGAGGAAGCCCTGCGTTCAAAATGTTACATAAAAGTAAAAGTACTGTTGTGACGGAAATTTAAAAATGAGTCTGAAATAGAGAGTGAACAACTAAGGGTGTGTACGAAGTGTTGATGTGTGTAGATGTGTTTAGCAACTGAATGTGTGTGGAGGGTGGGGGGGGGGGGACATAGAGCTAAAGTACAAATACATAGATAGCAAGTATGACTTTCCATTTACCCTCCACCCAAGATGAGGTGTAACCTTGTCACAGCCAGTGTTACCACATAGTACACACCAGTGTTACCAGTTACACAAAAAGAATTTCCATTACACCGACAGTAGCTGGTGGATTTTCCACTGCGATCAATAGAGTCTGATGTTCTACTGGGTTTGGATTGATTGATCTGATTCTGAGAAGGAACTGAAGTCATCAGGTACATGTAGTGTAGTAAAAAGTACACGGTCTGGAGTCACAGGATGAAGGAAGAGAAGATGGAAAGTACTTCAAAACTACTAAAGTACAGTACTTGACTAAATGTACTTCTTTACTTTCCACCACTGGTTGCTAGGAGACAGACAGGAGACGTCATATTAGTTCATAAGTAGCTGGGAAAAATCTCATTTTCCTCAGAAGTTGATTAATTTTTAGTCACAAACTAGTAACGACTGATTTCTTCATCATTAACCTTTTGTGACCCCTCAAGTAAAGTGACACATACCATGACACACAACCTCATCACTTCATGGTTATCTGACACTTTCTGTGACGTCTGCAGTGAAATGATGGACCAGTGAGCGACGAGCAGCTCTAATTTACTCTGTTTGTCAGTCTGCTAATTGATACACACGCTCCAGTACACACAGTACACACACAGTACACACATAGTACACATAGTACACATAGTACACACAGTACACACACAGTACACACAGTACACACATAGTACACACACAGTACACACAGTACACACACAGTAAACACAGTACGCACACACAACACACATAGTAGACACACAGTACACACATAGTACACACATAGTACACACACAGTACACACAGTACACACATAGTACACACACAGTACACACACAGTACACACACAGTACACACATAGTACACACACAGTACACACAGTACACACATAGTACACACACAGTACACACATGGTCCATACCTCAGTTCAGATGTGATGATTTCATATTGATTGTTCAGTGTCACTTCAGACAGTCGTGCACCTTCTGGAATATTTTCAGTATTTTAGGATACTGTCACTTTTGTGGACCAAAACTAAGACGTGATATTAAAACTAATGTCTTAGATGTGATAACACATAGTACACACACAGTACACACAGTACACACACAGTACACACAGTACACACACTGTACACACATAGTAGACACACAGTACACACATAGTACACACATAGTACACACACAGTACACACAGTACACACATAGTACACACACAGTACACACA